GGAAAGAGAAGAGACGAGGTGACATGAATTCGGCGAATCCGGCGGAGCTTGAACCTCACGCGTTAACCGAGACTAGGGCATCGGAACCCAGTCCCAGTCACTCCCCGCCGCAATCCCCAAAGGAATAGCTCCAACCAGCGAACCATCCCACGCATACGCATTGGTTCCCGCCGAGGAAGCCAAAGGAGGATTAAGAAGACGACGAAGGGGAAGGAGAGACTCACCGCACGCGGAGAACCCTAGCCGGAGGAGCTGCAGGGGACGTCGATCTGAGAGGAACTGTCGCCGGAGACGGAGAGAAAAGGAGAGTAATCGATTTTCGCCTCTTGACTATGTATGATGATGACGATGAACTGTCGACAGGGAAAGGGGGGGATTTTGAGGGATGGATCTGGGCTGAGTCGAAACAGGCCAAGTCTGCGTTGTTCTCAAGTCCCTCACCCTTATTAATTATTATATTACATATGTTGCTTTGATTCATTTTCTCTTTATAAATTTCATGAAAACAAACGAATTTTATAGAATATTTTTAAAAAAAACATATCAAAATTTAATTTGATTCAAAAATACAAGATGTTAAAATCATATATATCTAAATAATAAGGTTTAAAACAATTTGATGAAATTATATCACCTCTTACATATAAGTTTTAAATTTCATTAAATGTATTAATTAAAAAATGAATACGTTTAAAGCCACTCATCAATCTAATTATCAACCGAAAAATTATTCGCAATATTAATTAGTATCTATTAGAATAACCATAGAGTTGTAATAGAAATTTAATCATCGAAAAATGTAAAAATAAAAGTAATACAATTGTATAATTTTTCATCTTAAAATAAATAAATAAATAAATAATATAAGCACATGCTGATCCTTGTAATTTTAAATTTTATAAAAATACGTAAAATATATAACAATAGCGTGTAGAATATACGTATTAATATAACTAAGCACGTAAAGATTTAGGAATTTATGAAGGGAGGGAGAAATTTGATGAATAGACAAGTGGACTCACGTATATATATAGACAAAAGATTTTCTTCCTATAAAAGAAATGCATATCATTAAAAAAAATCATTTTTTGACTATAAATGTTATGATTTTATTTTTTCAAAATTTTAGTAAGAATGGAGCTTGCAATTATAGGATTCCATCCATTCAACGATTCGAAATATTCCATTTTTTGAATTAGGATTCCCAAAATTTTTCTATCTTCTTATTTTCCTCTCCTTTTGTTTTTATCCTATTTTATTTGTAAATAACCGAATATTTATTTAGTGTATCCATTTAATACTCAAAAACTCATATTCATCGAAAACGACCTCTGAATCGAACAAAATTTTAAAATCCTCATATTTGAATTAAATTATTTTAAATTTTCAGTTATCTAAAATATATAATAAAATTAATTGTTAGATTAAAAACTAGAAGTGAAGATAAAAAAAAGAAAAAGAATATTTCGGAAATAAAAAATAATACAGAAGAGATAACACAAATTTCGGAAAACATAAAAACTCTAGATGGTTAATTTGTTTACCAAAAAATAAGTAAATAAATTATAAAATGTAGAGAATACTTTAGAAATATGAATAATAATAAAATACAAGGCCTCGGTTTCAAACTTTTGGGCTTAAATCTATCGAGTTCCCGATTGAGCGTATATTATTGGGCCGCAACCCAAATTATTAGTATCGTTAATTGTGAAAACCGGAATAATATTTACTGTATTAAAAACCCATACAATTTCACATCCGAGTATGATATTTTATTAAATAAATCCTGAATGTAAAATAACTAAAAAATAAAAAAACTATTTTAAAAATGAACTTCGAATCCGAACAAAACTGAACCAATCAAAAACCAATGTAACACCCAAATAAATATTAAAAATAGAAATAGAAAATTAACCTAAAGCCCATATCTCTAATTTTACACATCGTTGTCTCCCACTTCCCGGCCGCCATCTCCCCTTCTGGCTCGAGCCTTCGGGAGACACAAATATTCACAGACCAAACATCCTCAAGGTACTAGATTCGATTCCATTGTTAGGGAGTGATATAATTTCTGAACCAAAATGGTTCATATACAAATATTGGTCTCAAATCTAGTGTGGATGTAGTCGGGGCGAAATTCCAAGAAACCATCCTGATTATTAAAGAAAAAAAAGATCGCATGACTCGTCGGCGATGGACCCGGCCGTATTCATCCCGCGAGTGCCCGGGATTTGGATACACGATCCACGAGTCGGGCGGATACTCTTGCCATCTCGGGTATCCGTACCCAACCTCTGATGACAAGGAAATCCTCTATATCTACGTATTATATCCGTTTTGCCCACTGGTGCTTTACGGAGAAGCTGAAAACGATTAGTATCTACACAAATGGCAGATATATACAACCTTCAACATGAACTCTATTGCATGTGAAGCAACGTAAGTGTACACTCCGTCCCCATATATATGTATATATAGATACATACATATGTGTGTGTGTGTATTTGTCAGCTGTCGTTTTCTTAGGGTTCTTTTTATATGGTGTACATATACATCTATGTTCGATATCATTGATCGAGACCCATCGCTGAGACACGGATAAAACCAAAACCAAATCACTTGTGCTTCACTCTTTTTGCGTTTGGTACAGTTCCATTCATGACTTCTTTTTTTTTGCGTGGCCACCCTCTCTTTTCTCACACGTGATGTATGTATTTATGTAATCTCAGTTTGGCAGGTCACTCACTCCATTGAATTGTGAAATCACATACATACATACATACATACCCATATATTTTTTTCAAGCATTAAATGTATAGGAGGATATTCTAGAATATTATCATTAATATTGTTATGATTTAACCTAGATATTATATTTAGAATATTCTATTATATTTTGTTATATATTAGGGTATAATTTTTCACTCATCAATAATAGAAAAACATTTCACTATTATGGTATCAGAGTTTTGGTTTTTGTTTTAAATTTTTTTTCATCAACAATGATGGTTGAATCCCAAAACGACGATGAAGATGATGATATATACTAAATCCAATAGTATTATCATCTTGAGTATTGTCTTGCATTCATTTTGTTATTTTTTTTCTTCTAGTTTTTTTTTCGACAACAGTGTTCATCACTGTCAACTCTAGCCGATGTGCTACATTTTTTTTCCCGACGACGTTCGTTTATCGACGTCAACCCTAACTGTTGTGAGATCTTTAAATCTGGCTTTTAGCCTTTTCGATTGGAAAACTCCGATCGTTTTTTATCCACGTATTTGCATCACTTATTTTTTTTCTTCTATCTTGTTCTGCTGCTACACTATCATGCATTATGCATCGCGCTTTTGCGCCCTAATTGTTTTTTCTCCGGCCTAGCCGCTATACACACCGCAATTTTTTTGCGCTACCGACCTCATTGTCGTGCAACCCAACTCGCGCATATGTGCCGCACATCTGTGCCACATCAGCCTCTGAGATTACAACTCTCAAGCTCTTCAAACGTTATCAAACAACACTGATTCAAGTCTGAACTACATTACCTTGTGGAAGATGATTCGTTTAACACAGTTATAATTTCAGTTTTTATGTAACAAGATTGAATTCATCATAGATAATTCATCTTGAGGGACATATAGGAAGATATTATTCCTAGAATATTATTATTAATATTGTTATGATTTAACCTAAATATTATATTTAGAATATTCTATTATATTTTGCTATATATTATAAGATGTATTTTTTCAATCGTCAATAATAGAAAAACATTTATCTATTATATGGATCGGGACAATAATAAATTCATCATAAATATGTATACAAACTGATGATACATACGTGGGTGCGTGTGTGTATATATACATATATATGTTTGTGTATTATAAACTGGTTCCTTGTGGCTCAAGTTATGCAGATAGATTTGAGGGTTCGTTTGGGATTTCTTCACTTCCACGCTACTCTTTTATGGCCAAATTCCCAAACTGTGATGTGAATTTCGCCTGTCCGTTATCCGTTTGGACTTTAGCACTGCTTCTGATATTCCCTCTCTCTCTCTCTATATATATATATATACTTACACACACACATATATATATATATACACACAGATATCCAATGGATTAGTTTGAGAGAGAAAAAAAATCAATGTCTTCGTTATAGGTGATACATATATATCCATGTGTAGGACATGATAATTCATGTTCATGAAAACTTTCTTGTTCAGAATACTAACCTCACTTGTATCATTCTGCAATTATTTTTTTGATTATAGAAATGGTTGGACAAATTTTTTTTGATGAATGTTATAATTATCTCAAAAAAAAACCATGGGATTTTTCGTGTATTTAAATGTGTATTGGCGTTTCCATAAAGTTTTATGATATTTTATGTTCAATTATCTACGAAATCACTTGGTGTCGAAGTCTCTCATGGTCTTGTCATTGTCACTTTCAGACAACATGATTCTGCATTGGCCCTATTCCTCTCTCTTTTCCTTACTAGGATCTGTATTTCTCTTGCTTGGTTATTTTCGGTGTAGATGTTTGGGATTCAAAAAAAATTATTAATTTATTAATATTTGATTGAAAATTTTAATCACCATTCCGCAAAATATTTATTTTTTTGTCAAATTTTAAAAATTATTTTTAGTTTTCGATTTTCATTCAATTAATTGAATTGAATAACAGTTATATCCAATCAATTTATGTTTTTAGAAATATTGGGACATAAAACCAAATTGTGCAATATCATGAGGTCCTACTAAACTAAGTTAGTTGAGTTGTCTTTAGCATGCACACTCTCAATTGGCTTTCAGCAAAGAAACAAAATTGAAGTCTTGGTAAATACACACACACACACATATATACATATATATATGTATGTATATGTTTAATAAATTGTATAGTTTTTTAAGTGGTTTTTCGGTACGATTTCCAAGGGAACAAAATAAAGGAAAGAAAGGAACAAGATCTGGATTTGACAAAACCATGAGTGGGATGTATTATTTCAATGGATACAGATTTCGAGAAGAATGTTTGTGTGGGCCCATCCCTTCAAACCCCCAATGACTCTTGTGCCATAGCGACCGGCCAAATTATCTTTATAATCTTGTATTACAAGACAAATCACCCCAAAGACTAACCCACGCCAAGAAAAATGAAAGTGGACTTAGATTTAATTAATTAAATACCAAATACAATCAACCATATATTCACCAAGATCCTCCATTCAACATCCCAGTCCAGTACCCTGCAGCGGCATGATCACCGCCTCGCCTCTGATCGTCACTCGTCTCGCTGATTATTGCGCGCGATGATGAGGAGACTGGCGACTTCATATCATCAAACGGGAACAAAAGCCTCCCAGCTCCATTCATCGCGCCGCTTTCTTCTTGGTGAAACCCGTGATCAAGAGAGAATCCCAGCGCTGTTGTTGATGTGCATGGCTTGTAATGATGATCTTGCATGGCATACCCAGATGGATCTTGATGATGATGAGCAGATGGCGAGCTCATGAATGAACTTGAACACCCATTGTCGGCGCTAAGGAGATCCAACGAGGCTGCCATAGACGCTGACGTGGCAGGGCATGGAGGCACCAGTACTCGGTCGCCGTCGCTGTTCTTGTTGGTGCCGTTCCCAATGTTCTGGATGAGTTCAGTGAAATTGCTTCTGAACCCATGTGGGAAACCGAGATTGAGATCTTGGGTCTCATGAAAGTTAGGGTTTTGACCGGTCAAACTTCGTCGGGTCATGCTCAACAGGTGGTGCTCAGAAAGATGCTTCTTCGGAGGTGGCAATTGCTGAGAATTCGCGGGATTGTTAATGCTGTTATTGCTATGACTAGAAGAAGAGTTCGATCTCTTGTTCTTCCTCGATCCACCGCCGACAGGGATGTTCCTGAGAGTTCCGCCTTCAGTCCAATACCTTCTACAAGTCTTGCAGAAGTACCTTGGCTGTGTCAGACTGTAATTGTTGTAGTAACAAAACTTTGTGTTTGTCGAGTTGCACCTCGGACAGTTCAAAGCTTGGTCCTTTTCTGGCCTCACCTTTCTCTCTCCTCCGGCGGCCGCCCCCGCCTTCGCCGGCGGCTGCTGCAAACGCGGCGGCTTAGGGCATGTGTTTGTTACTATCTCCTCCAAGGGTTTCACCACAATCTCCTAAACCAAATTCCAAAATCAAATTAACCCCAAAATAATTAATTGCACTTATATATGAACACTACACACACGCACACAAACAAACGCTGTTATACATATGGATACACTTGTGTATAATTACGTGTGTATCAAATAAGATGAGAAAATAAATTTGATTTGATTTAGAGATAACTACAGAATTATAAAATTGTGAAGGAGACGATCAAGAAACAACCCAAAGAACGAACATAAAGCATTACAACATGTACATGTATACATGTGGTCTTAATCAACACACAAAAGTGTTATGGGAAACTCGGTCATAACAGAAAAATTAACAAAATAAAAAGCGAGAGAGAAAATAAATGGGTATAAAGTGAAAAAGGTAAAATCATAAAAAAAAAATGTGAAAACAAGAAAAAAATAAAAAGAAGAAGATCCAAAAACATCATCATCTTTGGAAAGAAAGAAGGGAAAAAAAGGAAATCACATACAAACAAGAACACGGAGCAGAAACATTAATTTCCAATGATCAAGTGAGCCCAGATCATGACAGGATTATATACATACACATACACATACACACACATGTGTGTGTGTGTGTGTGTATATATAATAGATCTGTAAAATATATACCTGTGGCCATTGAGCAGTATCCATGGATGAAACTTTCTCAGATCAGAAGAAATTCAACTGATCTTCACTTCTCTTTCTATTTCTTTTTTGGATTTGAAACTGATTTTTTTTTCTTTTCTTCTTTTTTGGTGAAGAGAAAGGGAATTTTGGTTCTTGAGAGATCTTCTGTGTGTGGAAGTTCTTCTTGTGTTCCTCTCGTCACCTTTGCTTTATGGTTTGAGAGAGAGAGAGAGAGAGAGAGAGAGAGAGAGAGGAGAGAGATGATAATTTAAATAAAGCGACCAAATTGCATAATATTAAAGTATTAAAACCATTCCGAGTGGGAATCTTTGTCGTTGTGAAAACAAAATGAATACTTTAATACGTGTGTATAATATATACATACACACACACATACACACACACATATATATATATATATATATATATATATGATACACTTGTCTTAGGTTGTCATGTATTTATGATTCACAACTCAATTGGTGGAGTTATTAGGTGTGAAATAATGGGATTAGCATATTAATTTGGATAAGTCAAACCTTTATATCCCAACACATATATACATCGTTGATACTTAAAAATATTGATTACAAATAATGTTATAAATAAAATTAATATTGAACTAATTTACATGTTAACAAAAAATCACCTGCATTTATTGCGACTTGTTTTTGTAATTAAACAATGTGCGTGTGTGTGTATATATAGACACATGATACACTAACTAAATCTAATTATCTAAGCCAGATACAAATATATTTTTTTCTTCCAAATGATAGAATTTTACAAACACTTGTTTTGCGTGCTCGCTTATTTATTAAATAATTAGACAATATAATAACATAATAAACGACGGAGCTAATTATTATTTATTAATTCTTTTGATATTCATCGTGGTTTTTTTAGTAGCAATAGGTGAGAGAGTACATGAATTATGAAATTGCTACAGAATTTTGTTGTAATGTCTAACGCGTTAAATCATGAAATAAGTAACACATGTGATTTTAATTCCTCATAAGACATTTATACTGTGTATTTTTATACGACTTCTATTAAGCACCGGGTGATGAACCCAAACCGTAGGTACATATAGGCGTATAGGTGTGTGATTAAGGGGTTATATGATTATTTTAAATAGAGTATAATGTAAAAATAATTCTTTTAAAATTCTATATTAACCAGTTTTGATTAAAAAAAATCTCACTTTTCAATGTACTAAATGAATTGAATATCTGCAAGATTCAGCTGCCTAATTTGAATTTCATTAATAGAGGGGATGATTTTACATATAATCAAGAGGATTTAAATTAGAAGATTGTTCTCTTCACATTAATCATTAACATAAAAAAAAAAAACAAAGAAGATTCTTATGAATAGTTTTCCCTTTGTTACGTGTTTCCAAAACCCTAAAAAGGATATAGCAAGGGAATGAACTGTATTATTCCAAGTATATATATATATATGTATTTGTACGGAACGATTCAATTTTCAAGTACCTAATAAATTGACCATCCATTGACCTCTTTTTTATTCTTATTACAAAACATATTTAATAACATAGTTATATATATTTTATACCAAAGAAACATAGTTATATATATTAGAGAAATGCGAAGCACGCCCTCGACGGTCCACATGCTACAGACACGAAAAGCTCATCTTATTCTTGTTACACGTTACATATAGCCATCCTTCACGTGTGACTTAAGATTCCTTAGGCTATGATCTGCTGTGTCGCACAATCCACTCTGATATGATTCAACGGTCCTGATCTGGTCGTATTTATCACGGACGGTGATCATAACGTGGATTTGTAAACTGGGACCTAGAACTATCTTGCCACTGTGTTACCGCCACGTTGATTGTCTTTGTCAACCAATGGCTAATAATCCCCTCCACGTGTCAACATTATCAGCAAATGTATGTACTTGCCCAAATACATAAATATACGAGTTTGTATTTGGAAACTATATGTTATTAAACAAAGGAAGTATGAAATTTGCATATATTTTATAAATTCACAGAAAATCAATTTAACAAAAACTAAAAACAAATAAAGAAAATATTGCAATTTACTAAATTGAGAGGATACATATACTGACACGTGTCACAACATGAGTTGACTGTGGGCGCTAATGGGGGTGAACTGGGTCCCGCAGCAAAGCGCGTGCCTTCTTCCTTACGATGGAAGAATTGGAAAATGTGGGCCGTCGGATCATGCAGCGGGTCCCACTGATTACGTGGACAGCATCTCTTGTTTGCGGCCCATATGCGGACAACCGCACCTTGCAACTTCTTTAATCTTGTTACATTTGGGCCAATATATGTTTAGACTTGTATGTGGCCCAGGTAATTGCTTAGGGCCTCAGGCCCATTTTATTTGTGTAAATCTATCCGTACTTTTGTAATTTTGTTTAATGCAAATCTAATTATACGTTCAGATAATCATATTACTTTGCCGTACGTTTTATATATTTAGGTTTCATTCTTATTTTATGTATAACTATTATCAATTTTAGATTACTTAGCTTTTTTTTAACGTTGCGTATAGGAGAATTCGAAGATCAAACGAGTTCAAAGCTCTGATACTATTTACACACAAAAAAAAGGTTCTCATACTATTTTGAATTTAGAGATAAAAAATAAATAAAAGAGAAAATCCAAAAAAAAAAATATTGGACTTTTAAATTTTGATAAAAAAATACGGAACTTTATTTTTTGTCAAATAAATATTAAAATTTTTAAACGAAACTAAAAAACACTGAACTTTTTAAGTGATAAAAAAAATACATAAACTTTTCTCCGATTATCAAAAAACATTGAATTTTTTTAGTGATCCTAAAAAATACATAAGTTTTTTTATGCATAAGTTTTTTATTGTAAAAAATTAAGAAAAATAATCTGACGTATTTGCATCTCATTGTGTTACGTCAATCATTTTGTTTATTTTGACAATCGTTGAAGAGTTAAGTATTTATTTTGTCAAACTTAAAAATTTAATATTTATTTAATAAAATAAAAAGTTCAGCGTTTTTTGTCAAAATTTAAAAATTTAGTTTTTTTTGGGATTTTCCTAATAAAATGAGAATTATTTTTTGTATATTTGAAAACGATAGAGACAAATAACCGATGTCTACAAAACCAACCCAAGTAAACCGGTTTTAGCCAATTTTATCGTCCAAAATCAATTGAGGATAATGTAAATTTAATTTTCTAACAAATTTTGGATTTGAAGGTGCACGAGGAAACAAAAGGCGCACGTTAGTAGGGTCCTCTGCAAAAGGAAGGAAAAAAAGGGAGGAAACAAAAGGCGCAATTTCTCCGACTTTGTTTGTTCTTTTAAAAAAAAATCTAAGGTTAAGATAACAAAATCAGATACATTGGACATTGCACATTTGATTCAATGCAACTCCCTAATTAATTGCAATCCAAAATTTTAATAATTTATATTCTTTGTTGAGATGATTTCGTTTATTTTCAATTTAATATATTCAATCTGTATTTTTTTTATCTATTTAATTTCTAAAATATTTCGTCAGATAGATTAGAATCTCAAATTTTATTTATATAATATAATAAAATATAAAAAGGCAGTCCGGTGCACAAAACGTCCGTGTTGAATGGGAGTCCGGGGAAGAGTCCCACCATAGCAGTGTATTGTAGGCAAAACTTACCTTGCAGAAATAAAGTATGATTTTAAAATAAAAATAAAACTTTTAAAGATTGAAACCGACGCTAAACCATAAATACGTGATGAATATGTGCAAAAAATAACCCAAACAAGAATCAAGATACATAGTTGACAAAAAAATATTAAGACAGATTAATACTCAAATGAAACAAAACCTATTATATTTTAGACGGTTCATCTTTTGACATTTGTAAAACTCTGTTATTGAAAAGCTACACAAAAAATAACTTTATAGAGAACACCTCAAGTTGCACATGGAAAGGAGAATAAACTATGTAGAAATAATAATAATAATAATAATTAATATATATATATATATATATGCATCTTCTAAGATATGAGATGGTAATGACAAAAGAGATAATCACGGCAATTATCAAAAGGTATCGAAGCACTTTCAAAGGCAATGATTAACATAATGATTTCCACTAAGATAATAGCCTAGCAGATGACCAGTCCAAGAAAACTCCAAAACAAACTTCAAATATTTAATTAATTATTCACACATACAAATTGCACTGACTAACCCACTTATATTCCTTTTTTTTGTATACACTTGACAATTTGGACATATATATATATATACCATATGTAAGTTTTGCAGCTACAAAATAAAAATAAAACAAAAATAAGGTCCCATGGGGTATACCTCGGTGGGAATCAAACTCTGACTATAGTAACTATGTAATCTATATGGAGATCATTACTGTCCTAAGTGTATTTGGAAATCATTTTTTTAGGTAAAAGGGTGGAAAAGGGATATGGTACCGTGAGTCACCAAAGTCTCGGAAGCGGCCCATAACCTCGAAGCTTCGGCGGAATTGGAAGCGAGCCTGGACGGTGCCGTTTCGTTGCAGTCAGCAAAGTACTTCCCCGATACGTTCACCAACCTCGTGCTTGTCGCCACGTAACACGTTGTGGCCGCTGCCTAACCATGCCAAGTTTTTAAAAGGTGCGAAAAAAATTACATTAATCGATCGATCGATCGAGAGGTAATAAATACAAAAGCCATATTTAAGTTTTTTAGTTCCATTACAAAAAAAAAATGTTTTGTAGTTTATGGACATAATAGACATCCGAGGTTCTAGCGTTTTTGGGTTTGGTCGGATATGAATGTCTTCAAAAGTTTGTAAAAGTTTTATTGAAAATAATTAATGTGTTTTGTATTATTGATAATCCAATCAGATAATATTTTTCAAAATATTCTTAATTGTATATTAATATGACAAGAAATATACAAACCCAAACGAAATAAGAAATACCATATTATCTAAATTTTATAGGAACTGAAAATCTAACATAAGTCTCATTAAATTATTTAACCTTTCATATGCCAATTCCGAGTGTAGATGTTATAGTGATGAGAACTATTATATATCGGTGGAGTATGAAGAAAAAAGCTTACTTGGGGGATGGTCTTGAGGAGCTTGGAAGCGAAGAAGAAAGCAAGATCTGGTTTTGTTCATATAAACGAGTCCTAATTAACATAATTCTCATTATATATATATATAAGAAAAAAGTAGTAGTGAATGTAAGAAACCTGTCAATAAGCCATCGCGTTCTCTTGTCAAGCGGGTCCTAACAATGCCAGGGTGAACACAGTTCACTGTCACATTTGCTCCCTGTTTCTGCATTGGCCAAAACCCAATCTTTATACTTATAATAACCCATGTTTACTCCACTTATATATATATAGAGAGAGAGATAGAGAGAGAGAGAGACCTGGAGAAAGGAAGAGAGCTCCTTTGTATGCAAAACGTTGGCGAGCTTCGAGAGAGCATACGCACGTGTCGCATCGAATTGACTTTTATCCATCAAACACATAGAAACCCAAAAGATTAAAAAAAAAAATTTAACATCGACCCATCAAAAATTCAAAACCACTCCTTTTTGCATTTATTACCCAGGCCTCTCTCTCTCTCTCTTATCCAGCAGCCTTACTGAGATGCAAAAAGAATGATGAAAAACCATGCATATATTGACTGGACATAATTTTTTTTGAAAAAAAATTATGTTTCCCTATCAAGAACCATGAGTTTTTGAATTTTGTTATTTTAGGTTTTGATTTGTTTGTTTTTTTGTGTATAGATTTTACATGTTTGACAAATATGAAAAAAATATATGTTCAAATATGTATAATATGATTCCTAAATGAAGTGGATAGAATCGTGCTTTTCCGGTTTGAATTTATTACCATAAGCATTAAAATTCTTGGGTTTTCTTGCTCAGCCCAAAAAAAAATTGAGATCAATAACCTAGATGAATTGAAAACGAGACGATAAGATTAGCTGTAAATAACTTACCACTTTGGTCGGGAAATCTGCCGGAGGTACTCGACCATATCGCCGGAAAACCAGCCGTGGATTCCCGACGAGACGCTCACGATCCGTCCATGGACGCCCGATTCTTCTGCCGTTTTGATCATCTTCCCAAGCAACAACTTTGTCAGAAGAAAATGGCCTGATGATTACAGAGCTGATTAATCAATCATGAACATGATGACGATGATGACTATAAAACGAAATCAAAATAAAATTACGCGATAAAAGCGGTGGAATCACATCAAAATAAGATAATAAAATCACCTAGATAGTTAGTTGCGAATGTCATCTCGATTCCGTCTTCGGATATTACATGTTCATGTGCTAACTTGCCTGCGTTGTTTCTGATTAAGACATATTAAAAAAAAAGTTATCAGAAAGATAATATTAAAAAAATCAAATGCAGAGAAGGAGGAGGAGAAGTGAGATCTTGAGTTCGTAGCTAAACAATCAAACGTGCAGATATGCATTTACATGTGTATATACGTACGAATTCTGGTGAAAAAGAAAAAGAAACGGAAAAAGGAGAGTAAGTACAATGAAATGACTGAAGCATCTGGTTTGAATTTTCCTCACATTTCTCTGCAACCAAACAGCAGAGACGTACGCTCATATGTTTTCAATGCATATTTTCCATGCGTATGTTGCAGGAAGAAACGAGAAATACAAGGACATGATTTAAGATCCAGTTTCAAAATTTCCTTCTCTTTCTCGGCAGCCAAACAGCATCGAAACATAGAGTAATTTTCTTCGGAAAAAAAACGATCATATATATATTTTTTTTTGGTATAAATGTGCTTGAGAAACGATCTTATTATGGGTATACACATGTATATATCCATAATAGATCAGAAAAAACGGTATATATATGGCGAAGTTTTTACTCACATGAGTAGATTGATAGGGAGATCGAGGGACTCGAACTCCGCGACGAATCTCCGTACGGAGGAAAGAGAGCTGAGATCAAGCTCCATGACGATGATCTCCGCCGCCGGAGACTCAGCGACGATCCTCATCTTCGTTTCCTCCGCCGTCTTCACGTTCCTCGCCGGCAAGATCAGCCTGGCTCCTCGTTTCGCCAGCACCCTCGCCGTCTCCGCTCCGATCCCCGACGTCGCACCTTCATCACCATAAAAAAAAAAAACTGAAAATCCGACGATTCGACTAACCAGAAAAAACAAAAAAGGGAGAGGGAGGAGAAAATCACCGGTGATTATGGCGGTGATTGAGCGGAGGTCGCAGTTCTTGGTGACCTCTTCGGCCGTGGATTTGGAGCCGAAGCCACTTTCTCCGGCGAGCCCAATGAGGTACTTTCCGGTTCCGATCATATGTTTTTCTCCGGCGACAGTTTTAAGGATTTGAATTGAAGGAAGAAAAAAAAATAGAAACAGAACAAACAAAAAAAGGGGGAGGAAGGAAGTAACAAACTAATGTATTGCCCGTCTTCCGTTACGAAGGGTGAAATGGTCAAATTACACAGAGAGGCGAAGAAGAAGAAACTTTGTTTTGTAGCTTTCATAGACTCTGCGTGATAGAAAATAATAATGCTTGTAAATTGGTCAGTAAACCATATACTTTATTTAAATTAAAAAGAACATTGTGAGAACGAAAAAAAGTTAGTAAGAATTTATAAAATTGAACGGTTGTAAAATAAAATAAAATAAAACATAGCTTACATTTGTCCCAAAAAAAATTGTAGCAATACATGGAAAAAAGAGGATTTAAGGCAAATTCAATTCATTATAATGCGTAAATCCATGTGGGCTTTAATGATTTTACAATATATTTGGTAAAGTGATCACATTTATATAAATGGTGTTTAATTGGGTCAAACCAAATTAATTTATTTTGACAAGGAGGGCTTGCACATGTGTCTGGTTTTCATTTGTTCTTAGAAGAAGACAGAAAGTCGAATGATTAAACTAAATGACCGTACTTATTTATTTATATCTTTAATAATAATAATAACGATGATTATAGAAAGAGGATTAGGCATTAAGCGTATGGGAAATGGGGATTGTCGTAGAAGGCAAATATTAACAGTCAAACAGCCTATGCTTTGACTCTCTTGTAGGGGACAATTATACACTCCTGACGTCTTAGTTGTATACTTAGTGTCACTCATTAACTCGTTATTATTCACTCTCTTTTTTAAATGAAAAAATAATAATCATAAAAATAAATTCCAGATTATCTATAAATACGTACTAATCTTATTTTCCATGAATGTGTAACAATGCAAACGCTACCAAACACTAACTTTTTTTTTCCATACCAATCTCCAATTAAATACCGAATTTAATTATAAATTAAGAAAAAAATGAATAAATACGTGAGAGGAAGTCAGTCGGCGAGTAGTTTAAGCGGAAAACGTAGAAACGGCACGAGGTCCAAGGCGGATGAAGGGAGAAGAAGAATCGTCAAAGAGGATTTGCAAAATTGCACGTGAGGTTTTTATAAACTGCGTGCCAGATCGATCCGCTCCTTGAGACACGGAAACCATTTTAATTTAATTAATTAACTCTCATCAGTTACTTTATTCCATTAATTCAATGCTTATTTCTCTTTACTATTGTTTCATAGTAAGCTCCTCGAAAATTGTATATTTTTTTTTAATAAATTTAGTTATCTTTCGCCTTTCCTTCGGTTAAATACAAAGTAAAATTGCAAAAATAATATATATACCATAAGCAATGATTTTTCTTTGTAAACACGAGAGAGAATGACTAAGGTCTTGCTTTTTATGTAATTATTAATGTAAATGTGCCTAATTAAATACCGCTAATACCATGTAATAACAAAGCTAATAATGTCACTGCCAATACAACTTTGAAAATTGTACAACTAATTTTGAATATTCAATGTCACTCCAATTCTCTAGAAATATGTTTTTTTTAATACAAGTTTGCAAAATTTGCAATTAATTTATCTTTTATATATATATATATATATTGCATTACTCGTTAGTGATATTCTAGCAGCTCATCATCGAGGATGTACACTTCACATCGTGATTAACTGCTTAATTAATTAGTTAATTAAACAATGATTAAGATTAGATGTCACTTTTTAAGTTCGTGGATTCTGTACTTGCACTGATGCATGAGTATCTCTTATTGATAAAATATGATAATACATACATACATATATACAAATTATATACATGGTAAACTTAACATGAATATATATATATATATATATATATATATAAATA